TGTCTGTCTGTCTGTCTGTCTGTCTGTCTGTCTGTCTGTCTGTCTAACTTCTTTAACCCCACCAGAACACCAAACAAGCGATAAACACCCGATGACACAAAGTGCCACCATGTGGATGAGGATCACCGAGGAGAGGACCCAGAAATAGAGTTCAGCCATTAGGCCATATTTATGGCAGGGTTATATTGCGGTCCCTGGTAAGATCCAGAGAAGTGCTTTAAATAACGAAAAATTTCAACCCACAAAGGGATGATATGATTTGCTTGACCTCTTCGCCACGGAGACCCTTTATACCAATGGTCCTCAAATTTTTTTTTCTAGACCTGCAAAGTAAAGTAAGTAGAGTAAAGGACCCTTTTCCACGCCTTTAGACGTATAAGGCATATAAAGCTGGACCTATATATTTTTATAGACCAATCAGCACAAGATAGGTGATGTGGTCAGCATCACGCCAACCCTCTTTACTTTCCCGAGACTGCGCTCGGTACCCACGCAAGGCTGGGTCGACCTGGGAGCCAAGGAAATTTTTGAAAAAAATGTCCGGCTTCGCCAGGGAGCGAACGCACGACCTTCCGATCCGCGGCGAGCGTCTAGCCGCTCGGCCACGGCGACTCCCTTAGACCTGCAGCCCACTAAAAATAGAGGAAACTGGTTTTGTGGCCCTGCAGCAAAAGAAAACTGTCCTGTATCACCGTTTCTTATACTATTCCATGGATCTGTCCGCAAGGCTTTCATTATAGTTCTCGGTAAATGTAAAGGTGAGAGGATCGACTTCATTGCATCGGGTTCCATTCCATACGGTTCGGTCTGCCTCTGCAGAACAGCTAGCCGCCTACTGAGAGCATCGCATAGGACTCCATAGCTGCGTCGACGATCCTCAGGGATCTGCGTAAAAAATGCACTCGTGAACTAAAGAGAGAAGCCGTGAAACAAACCCACGACCTTCAGAGGGCGAGTTATACTTGCGAGTCAACCTCCCCATCCCCACCCCCCCCCCCCCCCCCTTTCTCCTATAATAGTTTTCCTGACTCACTAAACTAATACAACCAATTCACACAACAATTCTCGACAATTTATATAGAGACACAAATGACATATTACCTGAAATGAAAAACACAGACTCCCATCCACCTTTCGTATGTTCGCACATAAAGTCGGACAAATAATCAATAGCCACAATACCCAAGGCAGCTCCTTAGAGTACGGATATAAATGAATTATTGCACACAATCACTGTATTCAACTCCACATGCTGGCTAATTATTTCGTTTGGTAGTGTGTTTTTTTTTTTTTGGGGGGGGGGGGGGGGGGGGGGGGGTGGTTAAATATTAAATTTTTCTGTATTGGGGGGGGGGGGAAGGGGTTGAGATGGAAAACAAGTGGTGGGGGTGGTGGGGCTGGTGGGGGGGGGGGGGATGAATAGGCCCACTGTCTCTAAAAAAGCATGGCGTTAAATGCGATCAGCTGGGCTGGGAATTCGCTAAAATCCGATATGTGTGTGGAAAAACGCAGATATCGCATCCTATCTGTAAACCATAACACAACGTGTCAGCTGCACATGTTTATTGTCTGTTTGTTTATTCAACGGATCAGCATCAAAATCATGGCTCAGTGTAACCCATACGCACTCCGTTCTACTTTTGACGCAATCCGAAGTCTTAAGAATCTTAACGCAGTGCACAAACTGTATTGCACCGCCGAGGATCCTGAAATACTTTGGGTAGATTTTTAACTTAAAAATACTTCCCCTGCACCACCGTTTGACGACACTTTCTTTTTCTGACTGGCATGGGATTTTTTTTTTTTTTTACGTGCGCAACAATACACTCGGGCTTCCGGTCGTACTACTCAGAGACAGGGGGAAATTATTAGAAGTCTACGTAAAAAAAAAAACCCAGCCTTCATCGGTGTTTGAACCAAGGACCTCCAGCGCCCGGGGCGGACATCATGCCTAGAGAACACTCAGCCCCCTGCACAGTTAAGGGCAAACGCAGAAAAAAACGTAACTGTGTTTGACAGGCGTGTACAGTAAAACCTTTACTGGGATAGTTTCAAAAATGCCAGTGAACTTAAATTATTACAATCGACGTCTCTGCACACAGGCCATTCCAATGCGTGCTTAGTCTTCCGATGCAGCAGCCACTCCAATGTACCTCTACGGATTGTTCCCATGAAAAGATGGTTATATAATAATAAGAATTTCACAGCGGTAGTCTACCATTCTTTAGTTAGGGGGGGGGGGGAGGGGAGGTGGACAATTGATTTGTGTGACGCGCTAAGCCATCCAAATTTCTCCGCCGTGACACATGAAACCTACAATGGAAAGCAAAAGAGTAAAGTTGGAGTAACTGAAGAAGCATTTTCACCCCAGTGACACGTGGGAATTTGGTGCAAGACACTTATTTTTTGACAAAACAAGTAGCGCTTGGTCAACATTATGTAGGCCTTTTCCTTTACTTCCCCATATCATCTCTGTCGCTGCGGAGTTCGTGCTTTATGC